TTTTTCAATCTTTCTTTGTTCAGCTCTCAAATCCTCCTTTGACCTTTTCCATGTCTGATAGTATGTCTTCCAGTTAATTGGAGGACCAGATAAAATCCAAAATTCACCAGGCCTAAGAACTCGATCAACCTCCATTAGATACTTCCCATCTGCACATAATTTTCAATGTTTCCTATTACACCATTGTACTTTACAAAATCTACCAATTTGGAGAAAATATAGTTTTAAATTAGTAGTGACTCACCATTCTCACCCCATGGTATGAGACATCGTGAGCATTGAGCCATATCAAAAGCTCTTGATGGAAAAGGAAGTTTTATTGATCCAAGAACACCAATAATAGCAGGGACACCTCGCTCTAAAGCAAACTGAACTTGTGCTTCATGATTGTCCCTTGGTGCAAATGACATGGCTAAAACATTTCTCTTCATCAGATATGCACCCCAGCTTGCAACCTATGCCAATATGTTAAATCAATCCCATCAGAATGGTATTGTATACTTTGAAAATTGTTTTGTATTAGGATATGACAATGTTGTAATACAAAGGAAGAGGTTGATAAGAAAACCTACCCCACAACCAGTATCAAGAGCAGTTCTAACAGATCCATCAGCAATTGGAATCACTGATGCAAGTTCATCAATATATGCATCTGCTCCTTGAGGAAACATTGTTCCACCACCTGGAAACTTAAAGACATTGCCTTGATACTCAACCCAATGTTGATTCGCCTTCTCAACAGTTAAATGTTTGAAAGGGACATTTGCATAATGGACATAATCACGACCTTTTGGCCATGGAAATGGAGTTGAATACCCTTTTGGAGCTGGAATAAGACATTTCAACTTTTCTTCTTGAGGGGGGCAATGTCTTTCTCTGTATACCATGTTTTCTCTTGGGAACCTCATGGCTCTGTCTTGTTCATGGCAGGGGGTGTAATCGGTGTATTTGACATCACATGGTTTGAAGGTTTTGGATTTTGGTTTGGAAGAATCAGGAATGGGAATATTGTGATGAGGGTGGAAATCAAGGGTGGAAAAGTCTTCCTCACATTCTGTTTTCTTGGTTATGTCCATTGCTATACTATCTCCCTTTCCAAAACCACTTTTCTGCCATGTTCCTAGTAAGTAGAAGAAACAACAGAGCCCAAATACAATGATTATAGATAATGGACTTCTTCTTCTATTTGCTGGATTGTTCTTAGACCCCATATTGTGCTTCAGAACCTTGGGCCTGAAAGTTATAACTTACTTCAAACGGGTTTTTTCAGCCATAAAATAATCAATAGTCAAAAGACACAAATGGAAACATGATTTAATGAAACATAGGAGATCAAGATAAGTTTCTAACAAGACAAGTAATTGCATATTTGGTAATGGAAACAGTAATGATTTAGACTTTGGGATGCAAGAAATTGGAAATCTTAATAATACTCTCGCTATAGGAATCTTGCTGTTGGTTGAATATTGGTTAAATATCCAAGATCCCTTTTGATCATAACAAAATTGAGAAAGCTTGAGGATCAAAATCAACTGAATTTTTGGTTTGTAACGATTAGTAATGTGGATTGACTGGATTCTACTCTTACCTAAAACAAAGCATTTCATTCGATTTGGTAAAACCTAAAGTGCATTTAATTGGGAGCAGAAGGCGTAAAATTTTGGCTTATTAAATTTCTCACGCACTTCGCTGTACTGCGTGCTAGACAAAATCAGAGATCCAGGCGATAACCTAGGGGGAAAAGCTATCGGTTTAGTAGATCAAGATGAGGGAAATAAGTCGGTTTGGATTTCCAGAAAAAAGCATCTTAAGTGTAGAGAACTTATCCCAAACTAGTAAAAACGACTAACTAATTCAGATCAGGACAAGCATGCAGATCAAGCTATAGCACCAGTTAACCAGTTCCTAATTAAAATTTTATATCACAAACCGACATTGCTGCTCTAATACAAATCATTAAACAAAAAAAGGCATATAACGACAAGAACATCAATTCATCAATCATTTTCACGAAATCTAAAAGAAGTTCGAGCAGGTTATAACGAAGAATCATAATATAATAAATGCAACGAGTTCACATAGTAAATCAACAAAGTGCAAATCAAAATACAAACAGAAGACATCAGAAGTAGTAGAATTGAAATTGAACGAGTACGATTGATTCCGCAGCAAAGCAAAAAGTACCTGATTGATTAAAACGCAGATCTACTCTCTTCTCTAACTTTCCCCCGCTAACTTTGGCATTCAGAAAAGATAGTTTCAGACTTTCAGAGAGAAGGAGTGGAGCAATTGTAGCTTTAGTAGGAGTGTGAAAGAATTGCCTTATATTGTTTATATAATTGATAGATTCATTATATAATATTTTGAGGAAGAAAGTGGCGGAGTTGACGATCGCCGACGACGGCGGTCGGTGACGGTGGAGATCTGGTGGACAGGCTGGACAAATATTCAACTTTATATAGTTTATATATAGACGACGTTTTTATCGCGGCCGTTGTAACTATTTTATCCAAATGAACTGAAAAATACAAAAAGAAAAAGAGAGTGAAAATTGGTTCGATCTAAATTTGGGGATATCTTATTTTTGAAAAGTAAATATAGAAAACACAATTTTTTTTTCTCTAAAATACCGATTCTAGATTACTAATTCATTACCAAATTGATATATTCTATAGAAAGAACGACAACCGATTCAAATATATCTGATGGTGACATGAATCATGCTGTCTATTGATCTAAATGGTTAAGGGTTTACAGTTTTACTGTATGTATTATAATTTATGAGAATACAGAAAATATGTATCGTCCTTCTAAAAAAACTAATAATTAAACTCAAAATAATTTAATAACAATGTCCAAAAAATACGTATATTATATTCTATTTTAATAACATCTTAAAAAGAATTAAATAAATAAGCTTAAAAGTCTTTAAAAATCACATTTTTCTTTGCCGATATAATGGGCGTGGGACATATTGAACATCAATGCCCACGATTGAATTTATTAGGTACCCACCATTCACATAAAACCACTGTATTTCCTCTTTTTATTGATTGCACATACCTTTCATTTAATGAAAATATAAAATCATACAGAAAAACCTTGACTTATCTTTGATTTAATGATAAAACAAATCTGTATAACCTTCAAGTGATGAATACGAGCTCTTTATTAGTGGATGAGTTTGTTTGATCATTTAAATATCATGATTGAAATTTAGAGTTATTAGTTGGATTTAAAAAAACGTAACGTATATGTATTATATGAATACGTATATCCTTTTTATGTTGTTTAATATTTGATTATAATTGAAGGAATTTAATTATTAATAATATTAATCTTAGAAAAGTATTTACATAACGAATAATGGTTAAATTGATATTCGTGCAACAACTTCTCATTTTTTCAAGTAATGCATGTAACAAAATTAACTTATAACCGATATATACAACAATATTTCAGTGTATACAATAAAGTTGACATTTTAATAATTTATGTATCAAAAAAATTATGAATTGTTAATAACAAATGAAGAGTTGTATAATTTGTGTTATAAATATTTGTTGCATAAATTGGTAAGCGATAAAATGTGGTTACATGAACATACATTAAACCCATATATAATATAATTAAGTATACATTGTTATCTTTTAGGTAAATTGTTATTTAATGTAAAATATAATATATTAATAGACTCATACAATGATATTTTATAGGTTCTTAAGGGCAAAAATTATATTTGGTTTGGGCTGGATTTGTTAAGAGAAGACACCTTAAAACCAAATGGTTGACAAGTCATTGTGGTTCAAAATAAATAATGTTTGGTGGTTTTATCATAATGAGCAAATATCATATGATAATTTCAGTCTTAAACAACAAAAATACATTTAAACAATTCAACTGCAAAATGTAACGTTGACAAAACCATTTTATTTCTTTGATTTGATGCATTAGTTTCAATGCATAACATCCTTTCATATGAGTTATGAAAATAAGAAATTGATTTTCTTGTTGTTTTGATATCACTATTATATTCATCGTTAAATAATTGATAATCCTTGAATAAAAAAATTATAATATCCTTCGGAATTCAATTATATGCAATTTTCTTCTATCCACGTCAAGATATTCAAGTGGTCAAACTTATTTTTGTTTATTAAAAAAATGTGAGGGCAAAAAAACAATCATATAATCATGAGAAAGTCAATCGATTTATGCGTTTGAATCCTTTTAAGGTGAATCATGTGATTGTAGTAAAAATCTGCAACAATCTTCTATATTTACTATTCTTATGAAAATGGAACTAAGATAACAATGCATGTATTAAACTTAGAAGAACCAAAAAGGTAGTAGTTGGGAGTTGTTTAAATCTTAGGTATAAAGTAATGTTTTTTCATTGGTTTTAAGGATGGGAATTCCTATATATCACACAAACGACAACTGCATTGAATACTTTGAGCATACTTCAACCGATGATGTAGTAAGACTACAAAAATAGAGCAGACAAAGTACATTTTCACCTCTGATTTACTCAAGCTCTAATATAGGATCATGTTTAGGAACAAAATTGTAGCTAAAATAAAAGAGACAAATGCCTTTAAATCAGGTGTATCTGCTTTGACTATATGATCCTCAAACAAAGAATTGTTGAAGAGGGTGAAAAGGGTAAGTTGTTTAGAAAACTTAAGAAAAAGACATGTAAAACAGTTGCAGGAGTCAAAAGCATCATTTTTTTAGAATTCTCCATACGTTAAAAACTTGCTTAAATAGTTGAAAAGATTAACACCCATGACAGATTTACATTCTTGTTTCATTTGTCTTTTTCTTGAATGATGAACAACATTATTACATTTTTGTTAGTACTCATTGCATTATTGCAAACCAAATTAAGTTTATGTGATAACGAACCTCTTGTTCTTAGGTACTACAAAGAAACATGTCCCTTGTTGGAAGAGATTGTTCATCATCAAGTAGAAATTGCGGTTCTAAAAGAACCTCGAATGGCAGCTTCACTTCTTCGCCTGCATTTCCATGATTGTTTTGTGTTGGTAAACCTTCATTCATCTTTTTATTTTTCATATTATTTTGTGGGTCTGATACTTTTGTAACACCCTAAGCCCATAGCCCCCATTGTAGACTAGCCCAATAACCTCAACATCAACATAAAACCATGGCCCACAACTTAGGGTTTATAAGGGGCTCATAATTCTTGCTTTCTAGTTTCTATGCATGTGGGAAATGGTCATTACATAAGTTGTTTCATTTGTTGGTAGTGTTTGACACGATGGAATTAGAGAAGGAATGGAATGGCATATTCCATAGGAATAAAAAAGAACCTGTTTGTGTCTGCCTAATGGAATGTAATTGACAGGAGCATTCATGAAGGAATGTTAATTTTCATTCTTAGTCACGGGTGTTTGTTTCATTAATAAGGGAATTGAATGAAAAATTGCAATATGACCTGTTTTTGTTATAAATTTATAATTTAAATAATATACAAAATGTAGCAAAAATCATATTTTGTATTTACACATAATATAAAATTCATATGCAAGTTCGTTTAATGACGAAATAATTGAATGGATGGGGTAATGTGTTCATAATTCAAAGCATGCAAATGGGACCTACAAAATGGAACGACAATTTTTTGTTGATAAATTGATGTAGGGTTGCGATGGTTCGGTTCTTTTGGATGATTTTGAAGGTGTAGAAAGTGAAAAGAAAGCCGGACCTAATTTGAACTCTTTAAGGGGATTTGAAGTCATTGATGAAATCAAATACCTTGTTGAAGAAGCATGTCCTTGTATTGTGTCTTGTGCTGATCTTCTAGCTATTGTTGCTCGTGATGCCGTAGCTTTGGTATATATACTTCTCTTTCACTACACTTTTCAAAAAAAAAGCAAAATAAAACAAGGCATTCTCGTCTTTTTGCACATATGAGAGACCGAGAGAAAGTCTTTCTCCAAATTTGTTCCATTGTTTTAAATAAGATAAAAAGCTGCAATTTTTGTCTCATCAACATTAGTCTCAATCATAGTCCAATACATGTCAAATGCAGTATTAACTATTCGGTTCTGACAGATAAACTTTTTGGATTCTTGTGTTAACTTGATACTTACTCTTTTTTTTTTGTGAAAAGAGAGGTGGGCCCAAGTGGAATGTGTATTTAGGAAGGAGAGACTCAATGAAAGCAAGCGTGAATGGTGCAAATAAATTTATTCCTTTTCCAAATTCTTCTTTGGAAACCCTAATTGCCAACTTTCGATCTCAGGGTCTTGGCATTCAAGAATTGGTTGCTCTTTCAGGTAGGTTAACAGGTCGGGTCGGGTTGCCAAAATTTTCTTGTTTATTAAAAAAAAGGTTAAATGTTTGTTTATGCAACAATGTTTCATATTTTTTCCAACTCTTTAAACGAAATATGCAACTTTTATGTTTAAACCTATTGGTTGAAACGTGGTGCATAAATTGGTAAAAAAAAAAAAAAAAAAAAAAAAAAAAAAAAAAAAAAAGTAACATGGTTTCATATAAGATAGTGAAAAAACAAAACATATTTGACTCTTTAGAACCTAAATCAATCATTTTAAGATAAAAAAAAAACAAAAATAAAATTGTACTCTCCAATCAAAATCTCTATCGTTACTTCAATAATAGATTTTTGTAACTTTTGTTTTGGCTATCTGTTTTCATGAAATAGGTAGCCACACAATTGGGAAGGCAAGATGTAAGAGCTTTAGACAAAGAATCTATGACTACAAAGATTCTATGTCAAGCTCGTACAATCACCACCCAAAAGACGAAGAGTTTCAGAAGGTTCTAGAATCAATATGCACGGTATCCGGAAGAGACGACGTATTGGCCCCACTAGATTTCATGACCCCAACAAGATTCGACAATCAATATTTCCACAACATTAAAAGTGGCAATGGTCTCCTAATTTCAGACAATGTGTTATTGTATGATGGCGTGGAAGGAGAAATAAGAGACCTTGTTTGGGCTTTTGCCTTGGATGAAGAATATTTCTTTGGGTTGTTTGCGCATTCGATGATAAAAATGGGGAATATACATGTACTTACGGGGAAACAAGGAGAAATAAGAAAGAATTGTAGGTTCATTAACACCTAAACGTAAGATTTAAATTTTAAAATGTTTGTAAGATTTAAATTTTAAAATGTTTGTTTGGAACGTGTTGTTAAAGATTGTGTTATTGTTAGATTTTCTTTGGGCTGTGCAAAGTTGAAGCTTGTGGGATTCTAATCTCGACAATTTCTTTTGGAGTGTTTAATTCTCAATCAATCATGATAAATGTTCATCTAAGTTAGAGGATTAATTGGGGTAATAAGAATATGTGATTATAAGCAAAATTATATATGTATGTATGTGGTGGCAATGGTGGTTTAGAAACCGTATATGATAGGGGTGTTCATCGGGTAATTTTTCTGGGTTTCGGGTAATTCGGGTCGGGTAATTCAGATTTTTCATTGTAAAAAAAATACTTGTTACCCGACTCAAATTAAATTCGGGTAATTCAGGTAGTGGGTCGGGTTTGGGTAATTCGGGTATTACCCGAAATGTATAATTTTTTTTTGAATGACACCTAAAAATAAATTTAATAAAATAAATATGTCGTGCTCTATTAGTCTTGTTTATATAAACAAATGAGACATAAATGAAGTTACTCAAACTTTGAATATTGAGAATTTTTAGTCAATAATACTTGAGATATCATGTAATCTTTTAACAGTTTAATCTAATCTAATAAGATGTTAAAAAACAAATACTTAAAGATCTTAGTTTAAAATGTTTATGATAATTATAGCCATAAGTTTTGCCATGAAGTTTCGTCGAGATAATGATTTTGTTAGTTGCAATAAAAACTAATACAATCTCTACGAAAAAAAAAAGAATTTTTAATATAATTCGGGTATACCTGAAACCCAACAAACGTACCCTATATGAAACATCCCAAAAATACAGTCCAAAAAATTCTTTTTAAAATCATTTAATAAAATCATAACCCATCAATATCATAGTAAATCACAAATCATATTTCTTTCAAAAACATCATGTCAAATATTGTTTCACGATCATGTGAGCAAAATATCAGAGTCTAACAATCCTAGACTAAAACTGTGGTGTGTGTCATGCGATCATCCCGAGCTCTTCCCCTTGCTAATGGAAGTACCTGAAACCAAAACTGAAAACTGTAAGCACGAAGCTTAGTGAGTCTCCCCAAACTGACACATACCAAGCACATAACATGCAACTAAGAGATACAGGCCCCGCCCACTCTCATGGAGATTCGGGCCCCGCCCACACTCCGTTGTCTAGGAGATTTGGGCCCCGCCCACACTCCGTTGTCTAGGAGATTCGGTGTTGTCTAGGAGATTCGGTCCCCACCCACACTCCGCTGTCTAGGAGATTCGGGCCCCGCCCACACTTCGATGTCTAACATGCATACAAGTATCACACAGACAACAAGTATATATATTCCTATCAAGCATTCACATAACTATACTCAATTAATACTACGAGAATCGGGCCCCGCCCACACTCGGCTACTATGAGATTCGGGCCCCGCCCACACTCGGCTACTATCGTATCACATATACAGGCCGGCCTTGGTGCCGTAGACCCGTTCCTACTGAAGGAAACTCACCTCGTAAGGCTGACTGCTGAAAACTCGAGTGAAGGATCTCTGACTGCTGCTCCGGCGACTCTCCGGCTATCAAATTCATAATAACACTTAATCAAAATCTAGCAATCCTTCCTATGGTAAAATGACCAGTTTACCCCTGGTCAAAGTCAACGTTGGGTCAAAGTCAAAGTCAAGGTCGACTTCCAGTCAACCCAACTATGCGAGTTCCTGTACTACTCAGACTCATGGTCAACCGAGTCAACTCGACGAGTTCCTTCACAAACTCGTCGAGTTCTGTCTGTCATAAAATCGAGACACCCCGACTCAACTCGTCGAGTCCCTCCTTGGACTCGTCGAGTTCTTAACCCCTCAAATCCAAAACCATGTCCAGCTCACTGATTCATCTCCTAGACTCAACAAGTTCACTTATTAACAGAAGAGTTGGGGAACCACAACCCGACTTGCCGAGTTGCATGAACAACTCGTCGAGACCCCATGATCTTAATCTATTCAGTCGATTTCAGTTGAGTTCATTGCCTCCAAAACATAGATCTGGACCCCTAAGGTCCTTATGTCACGTAAAGTTTCCAACTTTACGTGCTTACATGGGGTTCTTAGCTCACAAGGTCCAAAAAGTGTCTTATAAGGTGCATGGGACTCCCATGGCCATAAAGTTGGCGCCTTTATTAAAACATCCCAAAAATATGACCCAAAAATTTCGTTTTCAAATTATTATAAAAATCATAAACCATCCGAAGTCATAAGTAAAATCATAAATCATGTATCATAAAACATTATAGTATCTGTCTCAAATCAAAATCTCATGACAAAACATCAGAGTAAACTCCCAGGCTGCGACTGTGGTGTGTGTCATGCGATCAACTCGAGCCCTTCCCTTTGCTACTGGAAGTACCTGAAACCAAAACTGAAAACTGTAAGCACGAAGCTTAGTGAGCTCCCCCAAACTACCACATACCATACAATAACACATATAACACATACTGGGACTTGCCCACTACATCGGGCCCCGTCCGGCATCGGACCGAAGTCCGACATAAATTGGGCCCCGCCCACTGCATCGGGCCCTGCCCGGCATCGGACCTAATTCTGGAATAACTTGGGCCCCGCCCACTGCATCGGGCCCCGCCCGGCATCGGACCGAAGTCCGGTATAAACTGAACATAACATAAACATAACATATAACATAATCACATATACTGCATCAGGCTTGCCCGGCATCGGACCGGAGTCCGGAACATGTAACACATACCATAACATGCATGAATCACGAAGACATCAAGCATACATAACTACTTCTCGGGACCACCCCGGCATCGGACCGAAGTCCGGAACTACTATCATCTAAACGGGCCGGCATTGTGGCCGTAGAGCCATTCCTACTGGAAGGAAACTCACGTCGTCTGACTGACTGCTGAAACTCTGGGCGAGGAATCTCTGTTTGCTGCTCCGGCGACTCTCCGACTATAATTTAATAAGGACACTTAGTCAAAACAGATACTATTCTTAGGGTAAAATGACCATTTTGTCCCTGGTCAAAGTCAACCTTTCAGGTTGACCAAACTCGCCGAGTCAGCCATGTGACTCGCCGAGTCCTAGAATTCAGAACCCTAGAAATCGTGACTCGACTCGACGAGTCCTTAAGCTACTTTCCATTGCGGTTTGTCGAACTGACTCGTCGAGTCTTCTTCAAACTCGCCGAGTCTTGGCATAATCAGGAAAGGGACAAGATCCTCCTACTCGCCGAGTTCCTAATCAACTCACCGAGTTCTACGAACATCATCGGGGTTTCTTCATCGGACTCGCCGAGTTCCTTATGAACTCGTCGAGTCCCATTCAGATCTAACCTAGTTAGCTGGTTTCACACTTCTACAGCTCCAAAATACAGATCTAGATTGTTTCCAAGGTCCATTTCTATAAAGTTGGAGACTTGATGGCTTTGCACACCTCAAATGAACCCAAACTAAAATTATAGCAATCTACTTTCATGAACATGGTCATGTCTTGCATAAAAACGGGTTCAAGACCCTTTTTATGGCTCTAAAGGCCCCAAACTACAGAAAAGGGGTAAAGTCTTGCAACAATCCAAGAGAGTAGATTTGCCTAATCAAAAGGGCCAAAAGACCCAAGAATCCACATGCAAAAGATCTAAGATATAGCTCATCAAGATAAGAACTTTTTACCTCAGAAAGCTGCCAAAGATGAGTGTATTCCTGGATCTAGTTCTCTGTCCCCAAGCTTTGCTAGCTCAAGCTCTTGCACCCACCTTCAAAGGCACAAAACACACTCAAAACTCAAGAGAGAGGCTTACAAACAAACTAGGGCTTTCTGGAGACAAAGAGGCTGATAAGGGGAAACCCTGAAAAGAGGTTTAAGATGTTTAAATAGGGTGCAAAACCCCGAGAATAGGGTTTCTTCCTGGCAGTCCTACTCGTCGAGTCCATGCTTGGACTCGCGGAGCAGGCTTTTTAAATCTCGCGTCTTATAAGGCATCTACTCGACGAGTTAGGGCTACCAACTAGTCGAGTGGCTCAATCCTAAACACTTGAATAAATAAAGAATTGCGTACCAGGAACGGGGCGTTACAATTCTCCCCCACTTGTCTTAGACTTCGTCCTCGAAGTCTGCTGCGCCTGAAAACAACTTCGGGTAGTGCTCCCTCATTTCCTCCTCAGGCTCCCACGTCCACTCCGAACCCTTGCGGTGCTGCCACTGCACCTTCACTAGCTTGACCCGTTTGTTTCTCAGCTCCTTCGTCTTGCGATCTAAAATCGTCACGGGTCTCTCGATGTAGTTCAGACTACCATCAACCTGAATGTCCTCAAGGGGTACCACTGCTGAATCGTCCACTAAGCACTTCCGCAACTGAGAAACATGGAACGTGCTGTGGATCTGGCTGAGCTCTGCTGGAAGATCTAACCGATAGGCAACCCGACCCACCCAGGCCAAAACCCTAAACGGGCCAATGAACCGGGGGCCCAGCTTACCCCGTTTCCAAAAACCTGATAACACCCTTCCAGGGCGACACTTTCAGGAGGACCATATCGCCCACCTGAAACTCCAAATCCGAACGCCGCTTATCGCGCAACTCTTCTGCCGACTCTGAGCAGTCTGGAGCCTGCTCCGGACTTGCTGAATCCGCTCTGTGGTCTTGAGTACTACCTCCGTACTCCCCATGACTCTCTGACCGAACTCACCCCAACAGATTGGGGTCCTACACTTCCTCCCGTAGAGCATCTCGAAGGGAGGTCGGTCTATACTGGAGTGATAGTTGTTGTTATACGAAAATTCCGCTAACGGAAGATACGTATCCCAACTGCCACTGAAATCTAGCACACATGCCCGAAGCATGTCCTCGAGAGTCTAAATCGTCCTCTCGCTCTACCCGTTCGTCTGAGGGTGGAAAGCGGTGCTAAAATGGAGACGAGTACCCATCTCGTCGTGAAACCGCTTCCAAAACCTGGAAGTA